CCGTCTTGGTCTCGTGCACATGGGCCAAAGTGTCAGCCTGGCAGGTGAGGGGATAGCCGCAGCTGGGGAATTTGTTGCAGTTCTACCGTACATCCCAATCACCATGAAATGCCATGTAAATGCCATGTTCCATCCACCAATGCTGGTCGTTTTCGCCATCCTTTGGGGTCTGCAAACAGTCATGGCGCAGAAAAATTCTTTATAATGATTGACCTGGTGCAAATGATGGATTTTCAATCATCTGGTTATTTAACATAGCCATGGAAAGATCCACCATTTCAATAGGTAAACCATCTATTTCGATTGGCATTTTCATGGGCCATTTTCCATGGCTATGTTCAATAAGAGGGTAAATCATGAACATTAGCCATCAACTATAGTTAAACCATTAACTATAACATACTATAACCACCATTAACTATAGACTATTTCTACCATAAACCATAGTTAACTATAGTTTCCCAATCATAGTGCCATGTGAATAGCTCATCCCCAGGGTTGAAGTGAACACACTGAACACACGGCGGCCAGGTCTACGACGTTTTGCCTCCGCAGGCCCTGTTGGTTTTGGGCCATGGAGTCAAGCCATGGATGGACGAAAAGGCCTGGGAAAAAAGAATAAAAAAATGGGACAATCTCCAACGAATGGAGATTTCTAGCTGGAAAATCCACTCTAAATGGAGGGTTTTTACTGGGATGATAAGAACAGCCTCAAAGTATGGAAAAATATATGGGAAAGGCGATGAAGATTGAAAAACAACTCAGGAATATCCTTGAATTTTCACCAAATTTCATGTCGATCATACATTTCACCGATCTTTGGCCATGGGGGCCCGTGTCCCAGTGGAGAAGCCCTGGTGGCCTCATGGCTGAAGGTTGGTGTGAATGGCTTCATGGCTGAAAGATATGGGACCCCATATGGTTTTGTCTCAGAATAGGTTACCCATGGTTGCCCCCAAATCCAGTCGTTAAACAAATCAGTTGAATCATGTTCCCTATTAGTTCATTGCCGTTTCACGGGTACCCAAGCCATCCCAAGCCATGTCCAGCAGCGGGATCCCGAAACATGAAACGGTCGATTTTCCAGGCTTCACAGTGCAATCAGATACAGTAAAGGAAAACATGAGTTCCTGATTGCAAGATTCATATCTAAGTAATGAAAATCAGGGTTAGAACATATAGTTTCCATGTATATATATATATATATAATTATATATATATAATTATATATATAATTATATATATATAATTATATATATATAATTATATATATATAATTATATATAATATATATATATATATATATTGACATCAGGCTTAGAACCTCAACTAAGTGATGAAATCACATTTTCCATGGCCCGTTTCTATGGCAGACGTCGCTTCTCGCTGGCATGATTTTGGGTTCCCCCCATGACTTAGAAAACCTCCAAGTACCACAACTATCCCCCCCAATAACTGGTCGGTGGTTTGGAACATGAATTTTATTTTTCCATTCCGTTGGGAATGTCATAATCCCAACTGACGAACTCCATCGTTTTTCAGAGGGGTAGGTATACCACCAACCAGATAATGATCACTAGCAATATGACGATGAAGGTTCAATCCCTTCTGCTGCTGGAGTCATCTTTGTTGTAATTTGTTTGTTGTACTGAGTTAGACCCGTGGTACAAGGTGGTACCCCATACTTAGCGAAGTTTCCAACTCCAATTTCACCAGGGTAAGTAGATAATGGTAGATATCTCAAACTAGTACTCTCTGGTAATCAAACCTGATGCTGGAAAATCTCCCATTTAGTTCGATGATTTTCCCAGCTCGACACCTCCGTTGAGTTCAGGAATTTTCCAGCTAGCCATGGTTGATTCTTGGAGGGTACATCCAAATTTATCCACAACAATCCATGATAATCCACTAATCCACGGTAGCTGGTTCATAAACTCCTAGGAATATCCCATGATCTCTTCCCATGAAAAATCGCCATGAATTCACCATGATTTCCTTCATCAGTTCTCCTATCAACCAACATAGTAATATGGAAAATCCAAGGGTTTCTTTTTTTTCAAAAACAAATACCAACATAGATATAATAAAAAGGTGTCGGGCTGGTAGAAGACCGCAATACGAAATGCATCTTTGGTGGTTTGGGAGGGGGTGTGGGGTGGGGGGGTGGTGGGGTGGGGTGGGGCCAATAACGTCCAATTGCACTTACACACTTACTTGATGCTCTGCTAGAGACATCTTTTCTTGCACATACAGGCATACTTCCTGCTACGCTAGAGACATTTTCTCTTGCACACACATACGTACTTCCTGCACATACGCAAAACAATGAAAAAACGTCGTGCTTTGAAGAAGCTTTTTCCTTTTTTAAACATGGACAACTGCTAGCGCGTTAACGTCACCCCGCTGGGACGTAAAAATGTCGACTTTGGGGTTTTCAGAAACCATCCCCACGTCCTTACGCAGAAGATTTGATCTGGATTCCCCCCATTTCAAAACACGCGAGCTTCTACCAGCCCGCGCGTTTCATGAAACCTCTGGATTCCCCCCAAAAAAGATCTACAGATATTTCATCAGCATGAAAATTATGTTCCATGAAACCCTATCAATTGTCCTTCTGAAATCCCACTAAATCACCACGAATTCTGAATTCCCATTGTTTAAGATTGTTTACCCATGGTTTAACAACGACACTTCCAACAGCCCCATCCGAAATCGGAGGAACCCTTGGCCCGCTCCTGGATCCACGGTCCGATGCTGAAACGCAGCAGCAGCAGCCACGTGGCCATGCTCAAGAGGCGAAGCTCTACGTTTCGTGCTGGGTCAAGTTGTTGGGTCCAACATCAGGATACAAAATGGGTTACCCTCTGGTAACATAGCTATTGAAAATGGCCAGTTATAGTGGATTTTCCATGATTTTCCCATTAAAAATGGTGATTTTCCATAGTTAATTATGTTAGTTTACCAGAGGGTAATCAAGTTTTTTTTTTTTAGGGCTAATAATGGTTGATAATTGTTAATCAATTGTTAATCATGATATACCCTCTGGTCATTTTTTATATAACTGAACATGACCATTGAAATAGTTGATTTACCGAACTTGGACATGGTGATTTTCCAGTTCGCGAACTGTTAGTGTCGTTTACCAGGCCGGGTAAATTGAATTCTTGGGTCATGTCTGGATATCCAACTACAAGATCTTACTAAATATTTTTTTGATTTACAAGTAAGTCGAGTTAAACGATCATTTACAAATGACTTATAATATCTGAAAAAAATCCAGTGACATCATGGTTAGGATTTGGGGACTCATCCCCAAATGGCCCAACATTTCAGGTTAGTGAAATATGGTAAACTTTACCCAAATAGTATGTTATAATATGTTCACAATGAGTTACTAAAAATGAACACAACTCATCCGCTCTCATTTTGGGCCTTGGATTTGCCCAACGTGAAGTTGGGACGTGGGCAGCGGATATCAAGTGGATGGCTCCAGGTTGAATAGCATCTTCCTGGGTCGAAAGCATGGGATCATGACCAAAAAATCCGTGGGGATAGTGACTTCAGATTGCTCAAATCTACCAGATTTTTTTGGGAACATCATCTCCCAGGCAGCCTCAGGCATTGTGTCAATCATCGGCCCTGCACGTTTCTACAAGATTTGCATAGGGAAATATCTACAGTATTTGTGAGGTCAGAGGGAAAGCCTCAACGCTGGTGGGGACAACTAGGAGAACCACTGGGCAGCAGAAAATCATCGACGTATCTTTGTTTACAGATGTTTTTCTATCACACATTGGCATTTTCATTGATCGATTTGTTTACAGGTATGATAAATCCCCATATTCTCAGTGATTCACTCCAACGTTTGTTGGTTTTTCATCCTCAGTGTTTTTCTTCATGATGGAAAAACGTACATGTATATATATATAACTATATAAACATATGATACATATTGCACCACCTTGGATAGTTTTTTCAACCCTATAAACCATGAGATAAACAACCTATCAACTTTATTAATACACATATGAATGCATATGGAGGTTTCCAGAAATGGGGGTACTCCCAAATCATCCATTTGCTTTTCGGATTCTCCATGATCAACCAACCATTTTGGGATACCCACATTTATGGAACCCCCCATATGAATACATATTAATTAATGGATGTAGTTGTCAATGGATTGGTTTAGGGGAACAATTTACAGGAACACCCAATATTTAATGGTAAAAAGCATGGTTTCCTGTAAATTTTCCCTTAAACCAATCCAATGATAATGCACAAACCATCTTCCAATCTCTCGAATCGGCGTCGACGGCGTCAGGAATCAGGTGACTTGGCAGATGATGGCAGATGGGGACAGGGGGAAGTGACCGCCGAATGGCGATCTGTCTTGGGTTTTTTAACAAACGGGGGGATGTCAACGGCTAAGAACCCCTGATTAATGGAACATGGGATGATATAGGGGTTACCCTCTGGTAAACGTTTACATAACTATGGAAAGATCCACCATGCTATTAATGGGAAAACTGACTATTTCGACTGGGCCATTTTCAATAGCGAACTGTTAAATAACCAGATGGTATATCTTAGTACTGAACAATGATCAATGGGAATTTTCAGGATCCGATTCATTGGAGGTACCGATTCCAGATATTTTTGGCCTATTTTTGAGGCCTATTTTTTAGGGAATATCCCAGCAAAATATGGCCAGAAATATGGTACAGTACCTCCATTTTAGGATCCTGGAGATCTCCCATTGAAATGAGGATGATTTAGGATGATTTACAAAATTTCCGACTTTAAACGACGAAGTTCTGAAGACAAAGAATGAACACAGATGCACACATTTTGCTGTATGCCCCTGTATGCAAGTGGCGAACAGCAAACCTGTTGCAAGTTGTTTGATGTGCTGTGCGATTTTCACTGGTTCAAAAGTCACCCACCTTTCGCAGCTTCGCGTTGTTTGTGATTTTTAGTCCTCCAGCAACGTCTCGGAGATGGCTTCCATTCTGCTGACCTTGTTGGTCCCTTGCCTTGGGTCACGGATCATGTCGACCAGCGACAGCGATCCCTTCAGCGGTTTCCAGTTGTTTGGCCCCTGGACAGCTTCGTCCGCAGGCTGCACTTCTACCGGTTGGAAGGGAAAGTACAGCATCTATGGAGGCGCCGTCGAAATCTTGAGCCTTGAAGTGGGGCCCGAAAGCACCACATTTACGTTCAATTCCGAGTTGGTGTCACAGGTGGCTTGGAAGCTAATCTTTTGAGGAGTTGCGCATTATACATATTTTTTTTGGACAAATCATGTCAAACCCGGATAAATTAAAACCCTGGTTTCATAAAAATCAGGGTTTTCCCCTAAATAGTGGTTTCATCTGCTAGTAAATGATAACCCCCCAAAACAAAATCCAGCCTAGATTGACCTTGCGCTGCATATGAGTTGAGAATTTGAGGCTGCAACTTGTGCCATGTTTGTTTCAGCCGATTGTTAGGCACAGGAGTCCTCTGAAGACAGCTTTGTCGCTGATTGGTTTCGAATGCAAGGCCCAACGCCGAATGACAAGGTCAAAGAGTTCTTCTGCAATGGGGCGTCGGTCGGTTCGTTCCTTGGACGGATCTGGTGGGATTTTCGATGATTTTCTCAGTTTTTCTTTTCAAATTTTCCAAAGAAGGCTTGTTGAATGGACCAGGAAAAAAGAGTAAACTTGGAGTTTCACATTAGGATTTCAAGAGGTGCTTGGCAATTGTCTGTCAACATTCAGCAGTTTTCCAAAGATTGAACTTCCCAGCCGCGTGTTTTCTTTGTGCTGTGACAGCTGTCAGGGTGGCGTTTCGGCTCTCCATAGTGAAGGCTTGCGACTTTTGGTCCCCGGCTTCGTTGCAGAGCCTCTGCCCAGCCCTTGCGCAGGTCGACTCGGAGGTCGACGAGGAGATCGAGGAACCGGAAAGTGCAGTGGTCGATCCCTTCGAAGGGGTGTAGTTGTCCGGTTTGTGGGCAGCAGCACCAAGCAATGGATGTACCTCCAATGGCTGGGAGGGAAGATATTTGATGAGCCCATTTGGGGTTGAAATCTTGCGTGTTCAGATTGAGGGATCCTCTACGACCTTCAAGTGGTGGGAAAAGCTGGCAGAAAGGGTGACTTGGATATGGATGCAAGTTGTGAATTGGATATACTTGGTGATTTGGATATTTAATGATATTTAATGATATCAATTTTTATCATATAATATCATGTAATGTGCTTATTTATATATATATATATGTTAGGGTCAGGCTTGGGAGAAGTCTTCAAAATCACAAGTTTCAGACTCTGACCCCTTCAGGCCAAGCGCTCGGACAAGAGCAACAAGTTGGCGGAGTGGTTCAAGATGGAAGGACCTCAAGACAACGATGACTTGACCGAATTCTTCTGTGATGATGGTTGGGCCACTGAGGACATGAAGTTACTCGACCCTGCGGCCCTGACATGGCGGGGGAATTTTGATGGGTCCCCCCTATAATCAAGAGTATAATACCTATGTAGAGTCCAATCCAAGATCTCGCATATTGCAGTGTTTTTTTCAATTCTAGCGGTTTCGACTCTTCTTGTTGTGAATGCATTGGGTCATATTGGATCAAATTTTCAGGAAGCGTTTATAAACTTTATGACAAACATGTTGAGGAGTTGTTGGCCCGATTCCTTGAATTGTTGGGGATGGATCAAAGCTAGATCACACTTAATTATATATATATATATTTGGGGGGATGGACATCGATGGACATCTATTTGCCAGTTATTTGGACAGGTCACCAGAGTACCAGGGTCCAACATCAGCCACGATTTCCCGTTGACTCGAAACGCTTGTGGCACGCATCGCCGCGCCTTAGGCCTTCCTTGGCGAAACGGGCGAAGGAGATCGCTGCCAAGGCATGCAGCTTTTGGTCTCAACGGAGCTGGCAGAAGTGTTAGGAGCTGGCTGGCTGAGTCCGAAAAAAGGCTGCTGTGCCAAGGTGAATGCCGCGTTTTTGCGGCTGGGAAGCGCGTTTTTGGACATCTCCGTGAAATTTCTGTCACCCTACAGTAAATTCATCGGTGAAATTTACTGGAGGTTCTAACCTCAACCATTTTCAACCCCTATTTTCTGTCGACCCCGTGTAGATGTGGTTCCGGGCTTTGGCCCGGCATGGCCCGGCTCATCCAATCCTCCCGTCTCCAAGGGGGTGCTCTTGACTGAGAAGAAAGCACCTTGGCTTCGCGATGACCAGCGGGCTTTTCGGAGTCGTCCACTGTCACGGGTATGTGCCACAAAGGTACTCGACCGGGTTGGGAGACATGTTTTCAGCCATTGGAATGGATGATTTATGATGATTTTATGAATTTCATGTATGATTGGGAGTTTTCCAATGCCAGATTTTGTGAAGTTGGGCCAGGACTAGGTGTGGGCAAGCCTGGCTGCCATTAACTTACCATGCGGGATTATATTTACCACCCATTTATGGGTGATATTGGGGATGGTTTATTGGGTTGACGACATTGTATGACTTTTTGGTGAATACCTACAATGAACCAAACTAACGTGGTACACGCACTGCTAAACCGTCCCTAGTTTTTTGAAACTGGGCAGACCCGAACTTGAAATGAGTGAGAAAATAGCCCCCTACTGTGGTTGACAATTGAGGATGGTTTATGAAATGGAATTTACCACATTACAAACATTTACCATACTCCCAACCAACATAGATCCTGCCAAGTGCGGGGGATTGGAAGACTCCTTTTCTCTAAAATGGGTGATTCTCAGGGACTGTTGAGAGGATGGTGAAGGAAACCGTTCATATGCCACGAATGATTTCCATCCCATCCCATATACATCCCATATTCATCCCATGCAATGTTGTTAAAACAAAATAAACAATCCCCAAAATCACCATTGTTTGATAGGTTTCGCATAAACCATCAAACATTTTTCTTCGTTTATGGCATGGTTTTACCCACATTCTAGTAATTTGGACGATCCTGACATTAACCACATTGTTTATCATATAACTCTGTAAGTGGTATATCCCACATATATATATATACATTTATTATATTTATAGATTAACCCATAAATCCCATGTGTGTATATATATATGTATATATATATATGTATGTATACATATATATATATATGTTATATGTATATCCCACATTACATCCCATATCCACGGAGGTCCCAGCTGAGGACATTCTGCCATCCATCCTCAGCCCGCAGATGAAAAAGTCCAAGGCGCTCAAGGCGCCAGTTCCTACTACGAGGTGCGAGGGGGATTCGACGAAAATCCCTGGGGTTTTAAGGCTGTTGATATGGAATCAGATGTATTATATAATAGGTGTATATATACATATATATATATATATAGAGAGGTGTATATATGCATAACATATATAGTTAATTATAGTCAATTATAGTTAATTATAGTTAATTATAGTTATATATATATATAGTTATGTATATATATATAGTTATATAGTAATATATATATATACATATAATATAGAGTTATATATATACATAGTTATACATATATATATATATACATACTTATTCTCAGACGTATTCTTATATGTTTGTTATGTGACGGTGTATATGTTTGAATTTCCCTGGATTTGCCGATGATAAGCGGCTTATTTTCCCAATGGGAAATCCACTGTGACTGGGAAATCTATTGGGGAATCTATTGCGGAATCCACTACCCTCTGGTAATTTAACATAGCTATGGGAAAATCACCATTTTTAATGGGAAAACTCACTATTTCTATGGCCATTTTCAATAGCGAACTGTTAAATTACCAGAGGGTAGTGTTTATATTTTTTCGGGGTGAAGCAAATCGAACTTTTTCGTGACCAATTTTGACCCTGTCAGAATAAGGGCGGCATTTTCACGACTTTCGGCTAAAGTCCTTGTGGGTTGGTGGCTTTGAACATGGCTTCTGTTTGACCAAATGACAGGCACTCACTACTGGTAGGAAATAAATGTTTTCAAACTGGATGG